CAAAATATGTATATATATTTTGCCACCCTATGGTTAGTTTTGTGTTCTTTGGAGATCTGGTTAATATTTCCCCTTGGAAAAGTAGCCTACCCATCCAAGATGACTCTCAACTCAGTGTTCATAGCTTTCATGAATTAACCATGTAAGCTGTCAGCAACACATTTGCTTCTTTGCCTTTCTACCAGGCTTTCTGGTGGCTTCCACCTTTAGTAGGAAAACAGGGGGAAATTCAGGTGCTAACTAACGATGTCTCTTACAATTGTTGTCTTTTCAATTAGATTCTTCCTCCAGATCGTTCCAATGTGTGCCCAGTAAGTTGAGTTTAAGGATTTGTTTTTTTTTCCTTGAAGTCTCACACTTCTTATGTGAATGCTTCCCTTCCACCCACTTGGGACCAACCTATTCTGTTTCCACAGCTATTTGTGTCACCATCCAGCAGCTACTAACAAGTCAAAGAGCAAATCTTTGCCAGGACCTAGAGAGAAGACTGCTATGCTGAATCTGTAACTAGTGATGAAAACAGACCACTAGAACTCAAGCTGCACCAACAGTCTCATTACAGAGACTCCCCGTTCACAGCACTACAAAGTCACTTTGAACTTCATTCCTAAATTTAGACAGCACTAAGTCATCACAGAGGCATCCAGAAATGATGCTGTATTAGACAGAGCAACCCTGTATTCACCTACAATGAATGAGTCAACTAGGTAACCAGCAAATACATGTTTAGGGATATTGTTTGAAATCATCCACAAAACAGAGGTGGACTGTAGCCAGAGAGAAGAAGAAAAAAAAAAAAAAGACAACAATTACTACAGGAAATAATTAAATTTCTCCTTTCCTCTTCCCTTTCTTCACAAAACTCTTTAGCTCTTGAGAGCTCTTTAGCTCTCTGAAACACAGCACCAAATGTTGTCCCATTTGCACAGCAGACCTAAGGGTAAGGCTGGGTATACAAGTGCCTTGCAGATCTTAATTAGATAAGACCTTCAGAGCTTCAATACCAGCAGTTTAAGCACACCCTCAGCATGAATGTATATGAAGAAAACACATCTCAAAAATGGCCAGTTAGTGATAAATAGCTTTCTTTAACATTGGTGTTCATTAGAATGAGACAGAAGAACAGACATAGATATCACCATTAGAAATGCATTTCATTCCTATCATCACAATGATTTGCAAGTTGTACCTACCAAAAGAAAAACTTTGCTGTCAGGCTTGACTTTATGTTTCTCCATGTATTTTATGAGGCTACTATTGGCATATCTGAAAAATACAGTTAAACAAAGACATTTCTGAAATAATACAGCATTAAGAATAAGGAACTGTACCAAGTTCACAAAAACATTTATCAGCCCTTAACAAATAAACTGCAAAAAGAACTGCTATCAGAAAACATGTCAGATATTTATCTAGCAGTTGCACACATAAAGTGTGCTTTTCACTAACAGGACCAGCATCAGCTGCGTACAGATTATTTCCATGGAACATGCAGCTTTTATGGATAAGCTGTTGACATGGGCATATGACAGAGAAACTCAACTTGAAGTTTATGCCAAGTTTTCTAAAGCAACTCTGCCACAAAAAGTGTACAGCAGTTCGTAACAACCCAACAGCTAAGCTATTAAGTTATTTCCCACTGCAATTTGGCAGAGCAGTTAGTTTACCATTCTGTCTCCCTGGCCCCAGCCTGCAGCAAACCATACAGTCCTTATAGTTCCAAAGCTCAAAAATGCCCCAAATATGTATGACCTGTGCCTTGCCTTTAATCTACAAATCCAGAGGTTATCGATAGCCATTTTCAAAAGAAAGAAGCTTCGTGGACATATAAGCTTCATTATCTTGTCTAAAGCCAATGTAATGAACCCACAGCAGAGCTGGAAACAGAATCCAAACCTCCTGAATCCATGTCCTCTGCCTTACAATAGAGTCTGTGTTGCTCCTTAGACCCTCTGACTAATTTAGCCAAAGCACCAGGAAACACTAGAAGTGGAAAATTCTCAGATCTGCTGGTCAAAAGGACCAGGGAGGTGCTTCCCTATTCTTTCTCACACAAAATGAAGTTATCTTGAACAGCTAATGCAAGCGGTTTAAGCAAGCTCATTTGTCTGTGCCTGCCACAGATTAAATGGCACTTATGACGACCCCCTCTAGAGAAATGGGGAGGCCGCTCAGTTGATGCTTTTAACAAGCTGCTGAGGGAGAGAACGCCATTCAAGTGAAGCAGCTAATTCAAACAGGACAGCTGTCACAGCATTAGAACCCAGACACTCCGAAATCCCCTCCCCAAAATGCCAGAGGATAGGAGCCAATTCCTGCCTGTCTGCTACATTCATGTTGTTGCATTATCATCACTTACGTTGTTCTCCTAAAATCTTTCTGAAGAGTTGGATATTCTGGCATCTTCCTTATGTCTTCCCAATCTTTATCTTTGGTGAGGGGGGGAAAAAGGAGAATCATTTACAATTCTGAAAGCGTAGGTTAAGTAATACACGAGAAGAAATAACTACAGCAGTTGTTTGACTTCCTGTTTGTTGGCCACTGCTATTGTTCCATAATTGTCAGCATTTCCAAATCCATCAAACTGACAGCTTCGTCGTACCTATACAAACAACTAGTCATTTCCTTTAGAAAAAAAAACAACTCAGTAGCATTATGTCTGATGCTTTAATGAAAATAAATTACCTGCAGGGAATCCCATTACACTGAAAATGCGATCTAGCTGATCGTGATGAAAAGGATTACTTGTTTTGATGTCCTCCTGACGACAGTGAAATATAGGTTCTGAAGTCAATAGTTCAGCAAATATGCAGCCAATTGCCCAAATATCTAAGAAAGAAGAAGGATAATTTGTGCAAATTTACTGTACTTCATCACTGTAGTTTTTGTTTCTGCACAATTTCTCAACAACCTGTATAACCACAGTAAGATAAAATGCCTCACAGTATAATTACATACAGTACTTTAAAAATAATGCATTAATATAATACATAAAAAAGGGTAAAATCTGGAGATACAGCTCTTTTCAACCAAAACTGGAGTCTCCAAATTCTGCTTTACATTGTACACTGGCAGTCCAGCACTTAGCATATTCACAGTTATGGCAGAACCCAACACAGTATTTGCTTACCTTAAAGGGCATTCAACTGACCATCAAAACCAAACTATAAATCCCCCATAAAGACACATTGAAAGAAAAGTTCTATCACATATTTCAGAACAATTCCAAACAGATAATTGATAATCAAATAAATACTAAGAAGAAAAAAGACTAATGACTCATATGTTTAGCCCAATAGTGCAAGCTACTTAAAATGGAGAAACAAGATCCTAATTTTAATCAAGAGTAGACAAGTGATTACCAAACTTTAAAAAAAAAAAAAAAAAAAAATCCTACTTGATAACTGACTCCCACTGGAACAATACTGGAACTCTCTCATCTACATCTCATGTACATACACAAAACAGCAGCATGATATATGTTTTAATGAAAGAAAATAACCTCTTTCATAATTTTCTCATTAATATGCTTTTCAAAATTAAATCTATTGTGGACAAGAACATTAGTTTCATTTACAGGAGAAGAAATTTCTAGATTACATGTATTTGTTCTAGTTAACTACTATCACCACCCATCTTATGTATGACCCGAATGCTTTATTATGCATCTTAAAATGAAAGCATGAATTTGTCAGCAAGAAGGTGGTTACTAGCAGAAAAGAAATGGATTTGCTACATTGAGAAATACATGTCTGGGATATAACTCTGGAAAAAGACATTGAAATCAGATGATTTTGCTGAATACAAGAGTATGGAGATTTGCTTGGTAGTTGAGGTTAAACTAGATGACCCTGGGAAAGCTTTTGGATTTTATCGAATTTAACAGCATAAATATAGAGATAAAAAATTACCTAACTGGAGTTTGGTTTATTAGATTCAGACTAAAGAGAACACCAAGAGAAGTCTCGTGTTTGTTGCAACTAATTTGAGACTCAAAACCCCACCCGCTGTCAATGGTGGTGCTTGGCCTGTGCCGCCTGAGGGACACACGGTCTCCTGAAGAAAGAAAAAAAACACTGCTCTCTATGTAGGGAATGAAAGAAAGAGCCACCACACTCTTTGCCAAAACAGGTCAGTTCCATTTCCATCATGTTACAGGTGTGGAGTTTGGGGTGTCCCAATTTATAAGCCTTTCTCCCTACTTCCTTTGCAGGAAATTCTGATAACATTTCATTCAGACTTTACAGTTTTGACAGGGTGTAACTTGCTCTGTGCATTACATCACTTTCTCAGGTTTTATCTTCCTTTGATTTTCTTATTAGCCTTATCTGCATGAAAACAAGATCTTTAGCTCTTGAGATTTTATCTGCTCAAGCAGCTAATGCAGCATATTAATCACAATTCCTGCCTGAGTAGTAGGCATAAATTATCTACCCAGAGTGGAAATTACTCATTATTTGAATAACAGCATCTTCATTTAACAGTAGCTATTCACTCAGTTTCATACTACATAGCAAATCCTTTTGAGGGTGGTTTATCTAGAGGCCAAAGGAGTTGCAGCCCTCTGGTTTTCATGGCTTTCTGCAGTGCTCACTGTCCATCACATAGTGAGGGAGAGGCTGGGCCACTGCTCATTATTCTGTTCCTTACTGCTCTATCCAGACTGAGCTTTTCCTTTTAAAGAAAAAAAAAAAAAAAATCTAGTATTCTTGTTGACAGCAAAGCTGAACTGGGAAATTTCCCTGATGTGACACAGCAAACTTCAAACTCTGTTCCTCCTCCATCAGCTGAACTGTGTGAGAGCGGAGCCACTGTGGCAACGCATTCCCACTTCCTGACTCTGTGATTAATACAGAGAGCACATTTTAAACCCTTTGAGAATGCAGAAAGACAGAGATTGTACCAACTGGAAGTTACATCTGAATAAACACTGGTAACTCCCAAGCTGGTGGTGTGTTTTCTATGGGATGGCATTACTGAACAAGTCAAGCATAAGAATACTTTAGCTCTGATCAGTCAGTATGGTCTCACAGTGCTGGGGTTCAACCCTTTCGGTCTTTTGCCAGATACTCTTCAGCTTCAAAGAACTAATAGAAAGTAATCCAAAATACTCAGTACAGAAAACCTGAAGCTTTAATTTCTGTAAGTGAAGATTAAACAGCTGGAAAAGGCCTTATAGTCATGCAGCTCAAGCAGGTCAGGGTCTTCCCTTCATGAATCTAACTTTCATGGAACCTGACCTCGAACACATCCTTGGCACATATTGAAACCCTCCTCACAGTTAATGATTTTCTGCCAAGTTTGGCTAGTCCCTTTTTTTTTTAATAACATTCATAATTTGCAGTAATTATTTACCACATGTGGCATTTTTCTAGCAGGAACTCCTTGTTAAATTCTGGCAAGTTTAAAAACTTCATCAATACAAGCAGTCCTAATAGGTATTTATCTTCTACATTGTTCATATTAGTCAACCAAATACAAACTTCAGCTCCGTGGAACAATGTGTCAATAATTAACAATTTCCCTATCCAGTGCCATTTCATACATTTTCAGTTTGTGGTCTTTAAAAAAGATTAATGATTATTACATCTATTCCAAATCTATTCCAGATAAGAAGTAATACCGCTCAGAAGTGGGCATTTACAGGGGCAAAGCTTAAAACACATGAACAGTATTTTTCAACTACAGTGCATTATTAACCTAGTGCACATCTGCTTCTAGCACAAGAGGAACTTCTTATAATGCTGCATAACAATTTCATGATAAATAAAACTTCTGTTTAAAAGCAACCACCAAAAATAAAAGGCAAACTATAGACAGTATCCATTTTAACTTATGTACCAGAACCACTGAAAACAGGGCCATATAGGTCCTACAAGGTTGCACCAGATACTAAATGTTTTCCCATCTGATGTCCCGGGAGGATCCTAATACATATACCAGAGTAATACAACCATTCCTATAAGGATGGTTCTCTTTCCTACACTTTCCTCTACTATCTTTATGTTTCAGGAACGATCCGTGGTAAAAGGTTTTTACTATTTGTTTTTCTGTTGGGTTTTTTTTGGTTGGTTGGTTGGTTTATTTTACTTTGCCCTCCAAGACTTCCAGACTCTCCACTTTCCCCAAGCTCACCCTGAACCTGAATGCAATCCAGTTTTGCTCCCTGGCTCTGGAAAGAGGGGTGGAGCAAAGGCCTTCGTAGCATACTCCTTTCCCTAGACTCCTTACCGAACAGCTTGCTCAGGTCCCGTTCAAACCTATTCACCAGTGAAATATGCTTTCACTGCAACAGTATTTCTCAAGTACTACGTAATATTTTTATAAAAGGAAAAAATAGCCTTTTAAAGATGATCACTTGTGGTTGGTAAACAGACTTTCCATATATGCCTGGGTACAGAGATGATTAGAGTATTTGTATGGCTGTCCATGTCCCAGTTTTAAAACCTGCAATTCTAATAGCTTTATAGGTCAGCTACTAAAGCTCAGAAAATCCTGTGTGTCCCACTCTACTTTAGCACTGTGGCCAAGGAGCAAGTACAAAAGGATGCTGACATAGCTATTTTAATGATATGGCTGATTAAGCAGACAAATGCTCGTGTATTCTTTCCTTTCTATGGCACAATAATCTCATTTCTGTATTTGTTCCAATATTTTGGAAACATTCTTGAAGAATATTATGACAATTTAAGACAATAAGACAATTTATTGAGCAATAGCCTTGATTCTCAAAATGAAACATCTTTTCCCATGCATATTAACTACAGTGTTTCACTGAAGACAGGACAGAGTCCAACATGAAATACTTGATGCTTCTTAACTATATCCAAGAAAAGAAACAAGCTCTTAGCCTCATATAATTCTTTAATAAAATTCTATAAAAGAAAGGAAGTTAAGAATGGGAAAACATCTGTTTAGTTGCAATTGATCTGTGGAATTCATCATTATTGAGTTTGGTCTAGCACCTTCAACCAACCTGCTTTTTGTTTGTTTGGTTGGTTTGATTTGAACACAAAGTCTAGACTCTAGGACACATCTGAATGCTGGTAAAGGAAGCAAACAGTGGATGGACTCCAGAATACAGCTCCTCTATGTCCACCACAGGCTAACGCAACAACCACGGTAACCAAAAGCTAGTTAGCACAGCCTCAGCCCAAACAAGGCAATCCAGGTCACCTATGAAGAGCTACAATGTTTATCTAAGATTCACCAAATCTTTCAAATCATAGAATCATTTAGGTTGGAAAAGACCTTTAAGATCATCCAGTCCAACCATTAACCTAACACTGCCAAGTCCACCACTAAACCATGTCCCTCAGTGTCACATCTACACTTTCAAATACCTCCAGGGATGGGGACTCCACCACTTCCCTGGGCAGCCTATTCCAATGCTTGACTACCCTTTCTGTGAAGAGATTTTTCCTAATATCCAATCTAAACCTCTCCTGGTGCAAATCAAGGCAAGGAAAACAAATACACCAACATACTTGAAACCCGACAGGTGGCTGTGCAAGCAAACGTGTCTAATTTTTTCAAATAATCATCAATTGGTCTAATGAAAAGGTATAACCTCTTTATAAGAAAATCTTGACTCTCATGCTGAGCACAGCAGCAGATTCTAAACTTATCTGGAATCTTTACACAGAGTGACCTAGGAGCATAGAGATACTATAGAAAAAGAGTTTACTAATTTTTTGTACTGGATTTAAATACCTAGAAATTAGATTTAAAATAATAATACACATTTAAAGGGGAATTTCTCATTTCTTTGGTCCGATAAGGTGACTAGAACATACCTGTTGCTATCACACACAGACACAAGGGAAAAG